GCCTTCTTTATGTTCCTTAAAACTCAAGCTCTATTTAACTAACTGCTTCTCTATATCAGAAGTCTTTAACACATCTTCATAACTGCTTATTTCTATCAGGCACTCAAAAACCAACTCTCCTCTTCACACACAGATTCCCAACTGTCATTTTCAAACTCCCTCACTCTAATTGCCTCTTTCAGAACCTTGGCTCCGCCCCTTTGGAATGTTCAGCTCTGCTCTCCCCAACTGTCATTTTGGCCTAGCAGCCTTTTCAAATCCTGGGCCTACACCAATCTGCACATGATCAATCGGCTTCATATATGCAAATGAATCCTATCTCTGCTGTTGCTACCCTGTCTGTGCTTATTCTTCCCCATCTGCCATATGTAAACATAGAGCTATACACCAAAACCTTAACATAGAGTATGAATTTCACTACACCATGTTTGCAAACTTTGTGTTTTGTCTGTCTGTCTGTTTGTTTGTTTTGTTAAAAATGTAATACAACAGTTTGGTTGCTCCTGACACAATATATAAACAAATAAACCCTCAAGCCTTCTACACTGCTGTGTGAAATCCAGATTATCTGCTTTGAAGTGGATTATATGGCAGTGTAGACTCAAATAATCCAGTGGATTGTCTGTTTTGATAATCTGGATTACATAGCAGCATAGTTCCAGCCTCACATGGCACAGTAGAGCTTAAGAAAATGGCATTGGGAGACCTGCATAAAGTGAAAAAGACTGACGCCTTCCACAGTATTGTGGTCCCAATCCTTTCTGGTTTGGCTGTTAACATCTGTTGTCTGTTTCTAGGCAGGGTCTCTATTTTGTCATTCCTTTAGAAACCACTAGCCTTTCAAGTCATTGCCCAGAAACAGAAGTTGCCATAACAATGAACAATTATCAAGGGGAAAAACGCAGGCATACTGGTAACCCAGACATCTGGATGTGGGAAGCCTGCATGCTTTGCCAGGCTGTCATTTATGCCAGACATCTGGCTCGAGTAGTGACAAAGATATGGCAGCCGTCTTTTAAAGATGACGTTGTTGGCGCTCTTCCCCCAAGGAGCTCACTGTGGCATCAAAGAAAGTTTCCTCTGTGCCGCCCTTGCAACAACTCGGTGTGATGCAGTACAAATAGGAAAAGGCTGGATTAAGAACATCTACTCAGCCCTCAAGGCAAAACAGGAATGAAACCTAAGCCTCCCAAGTCCAAGTTCAGGTCTTTTCCATATGATATCACAGTGACTCTGGTTTACAACTATCGAAATTATATTGTAAAGTCCATTTGGCTTGACAAATGTTCATTTCTTCAACAGCTTGTAGAATTACCTTGAAGGGTATTTGCAGTTTGTTCAATCTATTTATTTATTATTTATTTATTTATGACATTTTTAGGCCACCCCAGAGTGGCTTAAAAGATATATATACATACAATATATTATATTATTAGCATAGGACAATATCAGTATTATATATTACTATATTGTACTACATATTGCAATATTATTAGTAATATTACATGTAATATAAATATAAATATTTATATTACATGTAATTTAAATCTACATGTTGCTTTTGTTATAAAAAGTAGACCTTCAATGAAGAGGGTAGACGTGTGAACAATTTTCAACATAAATTTCCTCTTGCTCCTCTGAAAACGTTTGTGAGGGTCGATCTATATTTTTTGACTTGAGAACTAGAACTGTGTCCTGGACATAAATGGTAAATGAGAGGAAATGTAGGAATCTGTCAACAGAATATTGAATCGATCACTTAATGCAAAGGCTGTGTTTCACGTAGCTACTCACAACAGTTGTTCTGTAGCGATACAAACTCCCTGAAAGACACCTGTGATAGAATCTCATTAAATGGAGAATTTGAAAAGGAATCTGCTTTCCCCCCATAGCCTCTTTAAATTTGGAATAGATGGGTTTGTGTTATGGCATGTTAGTCTGAAAACAGTTTCGAGCCACGAGGAGAGGTGGGTAAGAAATAAAATAGAAATAATAATAATAATAATAATAATAATAATAATAACAACAACAACAAGCAGAGGCATAACTCAATTCCCCACTCAATTCGTCAACTTTCGGCCTGTTTCCAATCTCCCCTTTTTGGGCAAAGTCTTGGAACGTGTGGTGGCCTCACAACTCCAGGCATTCTTGGTAGACACGGATTATCTGGATCCGGCACAGTCTGGCTTTAGGCCGGGGCATGGTACCGAAACAGCCTTGGTCGCCTTAGTGGATGATCTGCGCCGGGAGCTCGACGTACCGAGACAGCCTTGGTCGCCTTAGTGGATGATCTGCGGCGGGAGCTCGACAGGGGGAGTGTGTCCCTGTTGGTGCTGCTGGACCTCTCAGCGGCCTTCGATACCGTCGACCACGGTATCCTTCTGGGACGCCTCGCGGGATTGGGTCTCGGAGGTACTGTTTTGCAGTGGCTCCGCTCATTCCTCGAGGGTCGGTCTCAGAAGGTGTTACTGGGAGACTCCTGTTCAACCCCACAACCTGTGTCTTGTGGGGTTCCTCAGGGTTCAATACTGTCTCCCATGTTGTTTAACATCTACATGAAGCCGCTGGGCGAGATCATCCGGAGTTTCGGAGTGCGATGTCATCTGTACGCGGATGATGTCCAACTCTGTCACTCCTTTCCACCTGCTACTAAGGAGGCTGTCGAGGGCCTGAACCGGTGCTTGGCCGCTGTGACGGTCTGGATGGGGGCGAACAAATTGAAATTGAATCCAGACAAGACAGAGGTACTCCTGGTCAGTCGCAAGGCCGAACAGGGTATAGGGTTACAGCCTGTGTTGGATGAGGTCGCACTCCCCCTGAAGACGCAGGTTCGCAGTTTGGGTGTGATCCTGGACTCATCGCTGAGCCTGGAACCCCAGGTTTCGGCGGTGACCAGGGGAGCATTCGCACAGTTAAAACTCGTGCGCCAACTGCGCCCGTACCTTGGGAAGTCTGACTTGGCCACGGTAGTCCACGCTCTGGTTACATCCCGTTTAGACTACTGCAACGCTCTCTACGTGGGGTTGCCTTTGAAGACGGCCCGGAAGCTCCAATTAGTCCAACGCTCGGCAGCCATGATACTAACTGGAGCGGAGCGCAGGGAGCATACAACTCCTCTGCTGCACCAGCTCCACTGGCTGCCGATCTGCTACCGGGCTCAATTCAAAGTGCTGGCGTTGGCCTTTAAAGCCCTAAACGGTTCTGGCCCAACTTACCTATCCGAACGTATCTCGGCCTATCAGCCCACCAGGACCCTAAGATCTTCTGGGGGGGGCCTGCTCTCTATCCCGCCTGCTTCACAGGTGCGGCTGGCGGGGACGAGAGACAGGGCCTTTTCTGTGGTGGCCCCGCGGCTATGGAACGCCCTCCCCATGGAGGTAAGATCAGCCCCCTCATTGATGGTATTTCCGGAAAAGACTAAAAACCTGGATGTTCGAGCAGGCGTTCGGTTAACTCAGTGCAATAAGTGTAATGATTGAAGGACTGGCAATTTGGACGACGAAACTGGATCGCGATTTTAGTCAAGAGATGAATTGGATTGTTTATTGATATATGTATTGTGGATCGTGTTTTTATGCTTTTAAACTGTATACTGTTGTTTGTTATAAGTTGTTGTAAACCGCGTTGAGTCGCCGGCTAGGCTGAGAAACGGCGGTATACAAGTATAGCAAATAATAAATAAATAAATAAATAAATAACACCATTGTTCACATGATTCATTGGAACTTATGCCACAAATACCATCTGCCTCCAACAAAGAACTAGTGGGATCACAAGCCTGAAAAAGGTACAGTTCCCAAGTGTAGACCCTGCAAGGAAGCAGATGAAACAATAGATCACATCCTCAGCTGCTGCAAGAAGATTGCGCAGACAGACTACAAGCAGAGGCATAACACTGTTGCTCAGATGATTCATTGGAACTTATGCCACAAATACCATCTGCCTATGACAAAGAACTGGTGGAATCACAAACCTGAAAAAGTTACAAAAAATGAACACATCAAACTACTCTGGGACTTCCGAATTCAGACAGAGAGAGATCTGGAGCACAATACTCCTGACCTCGCAGTCGTGTTAAAAAACAAAGTATGGATTGTTGATGTCATAATCCCAGGTGACAGCCGGATTGAAGAGAAACAACTGGAAAAGCTGACACGATATGAGGATTTAAAAATCAAACTGCAAAGACTCTGACAAACCATTAAAGGTGGTCCCAGTGGTGATCAGCACACTGGGTGCAGTGCCTAAAGACCTTGGCCTGCACTTAAACACAATCGGCGCTGACAAGATTACCATCTGTCACCCTACTGGGAACTGTACGCATTATTTGCCGATAGGTCACACAGTCCTAGACACCTGGAAAGTGTCCAACGTGTGATCCATTACAACAGCCAGCAGACTGATCTTGTCTGCTGTTGACTCATCTTGTTGTGTTGCAAATAATAATAATAATAATAATAATAATAATAATAATAATAATACCTGAAGGCTGTGTCTGGAGGTAGTAGGTACTGAAAGCCTTCAGAAGATTTTTAAAGACCCAACCAAGAAGGGGAAATGAGTACCGTGACCTCTTTAAATTTCAGTGTTGCTGTTATTTTCCGTTTCAATTATCTCATATTCATCTTTTTCACCATAATTTCTCTTATATTTCACAACCTAACAAAAACTATTATTGGTTTCTTGGTTTTTAGGCTTGCTCCTGAGGTTACTCAGGGCACTGATTCAGAAAGTTGCATTGAATAAACCACATCAGCTCTAGTTTCTTAGATATGCTGGCAATTGGTATGTGACATGTTCTGCATCTCAAAAACTAGAGCAGATAGGGGGAAACTGGTGCTGTTTTTGGAATCAGCAGGTCAAATATACCCAGAAACATGTCTAATATTTGATACACCAAAACGTGTATTGGGTCAGTGTTATCTTTCTGGCTGCCTTTCACCATTTCTCTCTCTCTCTCCCTCTCTCCCTCCCTCTCTCGACCCCACTTTCTTCTGTAGGAAAGCTGGCCTCATCCTCTCTCAACTTGGAGACCTCAGCGCCTGGTGCCATGGCCTCTTACAGGAGCCCAAGATTGGTCTTCATCGTACATCACTCAAATTCCTTGCCTGTCGTTACAGTGAGATTAAGCCATATGGGTTCAGCTGGTTTGAGCTAAGTCGGGACCTCAAGAAGACCTGTGAGGAGCAAATGCTGACTGTCCTCTACAATGACTATGGGGACAAAGACAACTGAGCAGACTCAATGAATGAAGTCAAAGAACTTCATCAGGGGCAGGGGAAAGACAACAGAGTTTGTAGGTGACTGTCTGGTGAGTTTTATACATGGATCTTCAGCACACCAGGCAGATCTCTAAAGACAGCGTTTAAAGCGAGAGAAGATTTTGTTCTTTGCATCGGCTAACCTGGTTTGGCATAATTCCCACCTGCAGGTTGTGTGGGATCCAGTGGAGATTGTTCACTCTTTGAGGCAGGGGAATTGCTTTTCTAATTTTGCCAAGACGTTCCTCAGCCTAGCGTAGGGAGGTATATGTGCATGTGTGTGTTACATGGAGAATTTTGTCCTTCACATTGGTGTACAAGAATGGCAGTTCATTCTCTCTCTCTCTCTCAAGTCCCAGTAGAAATAAAGCAAAATAACCAAGTCCAACAAAATAGGGGGCTCTCTTTTAGAAATGGAAAAATTCGGCAGCAGAAAGAGGAGGGATACAGTACTTGTGAAATATATGGTTGTACCTTTGATGGTGTCAGCTTCTCTTTTCCATGTCCCTTTTTATTATGCCAAACCCATTCCAGTTTCCACGCCACTGAAGAAAAAAATTCTAGGACATAGCTGAAACATCTTAGCCTGTAGTTCCTGTTCTGCATAAATAATCCAAAATTGAAATATATATCAATGGACTGTTTCAAAATCAGATAAGACATGAATAGCAGGATCACATTACACAATCCAACCAAAAATCTTTGTGGATGTCTTGGTTTTGGGGCCTGTCTTTGAGGTTATTCTGAAAATTGCATTGGATAGACCTCGTCAGCTCTAGTTTCTTAGATATGGCTGTCATGCTTTTTTATGGGTGAGCAGATGGTGACTGGTAGATCTCAAAAGCTGGAGCTGACAGAGGAAAACTAGTGCCGTTATTATTATTATTTTTTGTTTTGGAATCAGCAGATCAAATATACCCAGAAATAGGACTAACATTTGAGGCACCAAACTGTGTGTTGGCCAGTGTTATAGTAGAGGAACCTGCCTAGGTTCAAATATTGCAAACAAGATCATGGACAAAATCCAATGCATTTAAAAAATGTTTTTGTCACCAAGTAATGCAAGTAGAATTGCTTACTTGGTACCATAAAAACATTCATACGAGGCTTGAATGAAATGTAATGCCTCCACCTTCGTAACTCCTCAACAGATGGCAGAACTGGTATGCGGCAGGTACTGGCTTGTTCAGTAGACTCTCCTCTACAGTTCCATTTTGGCAAGAAGTCTTAGCATTGAACAGTTGTGTTGTTAAAGTGCGAAGTATGGAACCCTACACAGACGGTCGGTCAATGCAACTTAAGCAACGTGCAGTCATTGAATTCATGAAAGCAGAAGGTGTCTTTAAACTTACTCACCCACCGATGCACAGTACTCACATCAACACAATCACCATAAATCAGCTTCTCTGATGAATCTCCTTTGGGATGACACCTTCTGCTGTCAAAAATTCAGTGGCTATGTATTGTCGAAGGCTTTCATGGTTGGAATCACTGGGTTGTTGTAGGATTTTTCGGGCTATATGGCCATGTTCTAGAGGCATTCTCTCCTGACGTTTCGCCTGCATCTATGGCAAGTATCCTCAGAGGTAGTGAGGTGAGGTGAGATCCTCACTACCTCTGAGGATGCTTGCCATAGATGCAGGCAAAACGTCAGGAGAGAATGCCTCTAGACCATGGCCATATAGCCCGAAAAAACCTACAACAACCCAATTCAATGACTGCTCATTGCTTAAGTCGCATTGACCGACCATCCGCGCAGGGTTCCATACTTTGCACTTTAACAACACAACCATTCAATGCTAAGGTTTCCCACCAAAATGGAACTGTAGAGGAGAATCTGCTGAACAAGCCAGTGCCTGCCGCATACCAGTACTGTCATCTGTTGAGTTACGAAGTTGGAAGCATTACTTTTCATTCAACCCTTGTACTTGGTTTACTACATACAAACCTGAAATCATAGCTTTGAATAAGTTGTTTAAGATGTCATCATATTTAGACTGTGCCAGCAGTTAATTATGACTTTTTTTGCTCTCCGTGTAATACATGTGCAACCGCAAAAGTATACTGCTGATGCATGCTTACAGTGTACATTACAGGAGATACAACACATTGAAGGAGTCACAGGAAAGTCCAAATTAAGCCTTAAAATGTATTGCAGCAGATCTACATATGTCTCAGATTCAGGGCAAAATTGTATTGCTTTGTAGATATCTGCTCCTCCTAAAGAGGAGTAAATAATCCAAAATGGGGGCTGCCCAAAAGCACCCCAAGAACATGGCTGAGAAGCAGGTGTTTAATTGATTGGGGATAATGATAATGCCTATTATTATTATTATTATTATTATTATTATTATTATTATTATGTTTATTTATACCCCAATTTTTCTGTCTTATAGGCTCTTACCTATCACTTCTCCCCCCCCCCTTTTTTTTTTTACTTTGTATGCATCCAATAAGCTGATATCCATCTATGCAGGAAGTAGGGGAAAAAAGCTACACAGTAGTTTGAGACAAAGTTCCCTATTCAATGTAACTACCATCCTGGCCTCAAGCCAGTTCCAGACATGTCAATCTAATTACCCACACAGCAAAATCGGTTCCTCTCAAGCTGCACTATAATGTCAGTGTAGATGTATCCTGAATCTCCATGTCCAGTATCTATGGGTGGATGCAAGTTCCTGCACCACATACAGAGCTTCCATGATGTGTCCCAGATGGTAAGAACCCTTTAATCTATCTTTTTCCAACATACATGAGTACTCAATATGGATAATGAATGCCTTGGAAGGTATATGCCCGAATCCCTTGCAAGTGTGATGTTGCTGAGCAGCATGGATTTGAAGATTTAGAGGACACTCAGCGACTGGCTGACTTGTCTCCTCTTCTCCAAAACTTTTAAAAGTAGTGAGCACTGTCATTCAGACTGGGGAAAGAGAAGTATTTTGGACACTGTTGTGTTTACCAACATCCCAGCTGGAAGAAGAATTGAGATATATAGTGTCGACTGTACCTACCTAGTGTTCCTCCAGTCATGTAATTATTTTATTTATTTATTTTGTACATTTCTACCCCGCCCTTCTCCCCATAAGGGGACTCAGGCCGGCCTCACATAAGCATCAAACGATGCTAACAACATATACACCATAAAATTACAATTAAAACAGTAAAATCATTTTTAAAATATTATACAAAATCATCAATACATTCATTTAAGAATACATTAACATGCCAGTAAAGCCAAAACCAACGGAACCGCAGAATCCAATGTCGTAAAAATTCCAAAATTCCTTTCCATATTACCGCTATCCTGTAGTTGAACGCCTGGCTCCACGTCTTCAATTGTCTTCTGAAGGACAGGAGGGAGGTGCCCAACCTGATGTCCTTAAGGAGGGAGTTCCACATATGGGGGGCCACTGCCGAGAAGGCCCTTTCTCTCGTCCCCACGAACTGCGTTTGTGAGAGTGGTGGGATCGAGAACAGGGCCTCTTAAGCTACTTGATGGTTCATAGCAGGAGATACGTTCAGATCTTAAGCTACGTGATGGTTCATAGCAGGAGATACGTTCAGACAGGTTCATAGCAGGAGATATGTTCAGATAGGTACATTCAGACAGGAAGCCAACATGCACCATCTATAGATTCCCTATTAACTTGCTGGTAGGTTGTTGTATGTTTTTCGGGCTATATGGCCATGTTGTAGAAGCATTCTCTCCTGATGTTTCACCTGCATCTATGGCGAGCATCCTCCTGAGGATGCTCGCCATAGATGCAGGTGAAACATCAGGAGAGAATGCTTCTAGAACATGGCCATATAGCCTGAAAAACCTACAACACCCCAGTGATTCCCGCCATGAAAGCCTTCGACAATAACTTGCTGGTACTTTGCACTCTTTGAGAAGCCTTCTCGGGGAAATTGTGAGCTAGGGAAATCTGCATTTTGAACCATGTGTTAATGGACATCAGTAGAAGAAATAGCATGAGGGCAAAATGAGTTCAGATTGGTTTTTGCCCATCTGGACTTTAATTTGCTTGTGATGATATGAGAAATGGAAATGAAGTTGGAGCCCAGAGGTCCAACTGAGATTTAAGCTGTTGAGGAAGACAAAGCTGCCTCTTGCTTGTCAGCTTTCATCTTTTGATCTGGTCTGAATGGGAAAGGAACTCTAGCATGTGGGAACCTCATGGCAAAACTTTTGATATGTCTTCCCAACCACAATTGGTAACTGATGATTCTCCATTGAATGTTTTGACAGTTGGAAGCTTATTGGGTGTGTGCACTTCCAAGGTGTTGCCACAAAGAGCTGTGCAATTTTCTCTCTGAAACGAAGACTGAATTTTGAGGGTGTGTGTGTGTGTTCATGTGTGTGCACACATGCATACCAGATTCAGCAAAAATTACCCTTCAGAACATTAAAAATCAAATTTGAAGTGGGTGGGAGGAGACAATGCTATGTTAAGCGCCTTTTTTCATTCAGTGGCAAAACAGTTGGTGTCTATGTGATTTTGTGGGGAAAGAATTAGCCATAGGTGCATTCCGGTTTTTTTAATCACACATGTGCATACCTTGTTGGGAGCATGTTATGTGTGTCCAACATCTAGTTTGGCTTTTAGGATAAAGAACCAAGGATGGGCCTTGTCACAATATGTAATGATGTGACCATCTTGGACATCCAATGCTGTACGGCCTCCCCTGGCTCCCCTGGCTCTTATTTCTTAAGTTTCTAGACAGAATTGTGTATGGAACAAATAGAACTTACCAGACATGATTTAGTCCTCCCTTTATCTAACATTAAGGTAGTGCTAGAAGTGGCTAGTGAGCAACAGAGGCTCCTATGTCACAAGTTCAAAGCATCCTTGGCTTCTACCATCCTGTTTATCCCAGGAAGGCCAATATCCTCCTCCCATAGTAAATTTAAAGCCAGAGAAAGCTTAAAACAAAGATAAGAACAGAAAAGGCAAACCACAAAAAGACCTGGAAGACAAAATTGGATACTATTGCTCCCGGTAGTTCAACTTTTGCATTTATTAGAAATCTTCCTTTAGATACCTTGGGTTCTGCTGTAGTAATCTCTGGCAATGCTCCTCTGCGACACATCCATTGCATGGACCATCCTTTATCATTGCTCCTTGCAATCAGAAAGCTCTTTGCATATTCTCCAAGTTCAACAGAGTTGGAGAGGGTTCGCAAGAAATAACTGCTTCAGAAGATAATGATCCTTCCTGATACCCCACAACAGCCACTGCATTACAGGTGGCAACCAACAAGTCATTGCTTTGCACTCCAAAGAGAGGGTTCTGGAGGTATCCTTTCCATCTAGACACAGTAGAGACTTCCACCATTGATCTTTCACATGCAAGTTTCCTCTAGAACAGTGGTTCTCAACCTTCAACTCAAAGAAATCCTAACAGCTGGTAAACTGGCTGGGCTTTCTGGGAGTTGCAGGCCAGAAACATCTGGGGACCCCAGGTTGAGAACCAC